CACTCCAGCAAATAATCCGGGCCAGGGCAAGATAAGAGATGCTACAGAAACTCCTCCGAGCCGGAGAACAGCTGTGCTAAATCCCTTTAGTCCTCCACAGGACATTTGTTTACAGAGAGACTAGATTTTATTACCCGGGGTTGTCCAGCACAGGCTGTTCGCGGGCTCCCTGCCCACCCCGCCACAGTGCCGGGTCCCTTGTCCCCTCGGTGGGGGGCACGGGGGCTGCTGTATGAACCAGGGGCTGGGGTTGAGGTGGTTTTTCAAACCTGAGATGATCTCTTTTGGAAGAGGTCAGTCACCTGGGGGAGGGATGAGCTGGGGACGGTCTGTGCCAGGGCCAGTGTCCCTTTGCCCCCATGCCTGAGACGAGCTGCGGTGTCCGTGACCTCCCTGGTGGCTGCACATGTGACACTGGGTTCTATGAGCCCGGCTGTGGGTTGGGTCAGCCCTATTCCCAGGGAGGGTCTCATCCCCACAGGCAGCTCATGCCGCCGGGATGCCCTTGGTCCCCCACAGGGCTGGTGATGCCAGCAGGGATCCCCTCCCAGCCTCCTCCACCAGCACTGAGGACCCAAACCCAGCCCTGCTCCCCTCCCCTCTGACACCCAGCCATGGGCAAACCTTGGCCCCTGCCCAGTGCCACCTCCTAATTCCAGCCTTCGACCACTGGGCACTGGGGGGATCACTGGGAGGCAATGGGGCAGGAGCCAGGGCTGGTGTGACCCTCCCAGGGGCTGGTCACCCCCATGTGCCCCCAAAACAGGGTCGAGCCACAGGTTTTCCCCTCTCGGGGTGCGATGTACCCGGCAGCAACCCCGCCGGCGCCGGGAACAGGATCCGTGGGGCGACACAGTGTTCCAGCCGTCGCGGCACGGCGACCACGTACGGCTGCTCCATCTATGCAGCAGGGAGGGCTGCGGCGCCCCGGCAAAGTGGGGGCGGAAGCTAGAGTGGTTCAGATTTCTCCTCTCACCTGTCGCTAAATCAAAAGCCATTTGGATTTAATCTCCGGGAGAGGCAGGTTTAACCCTCTCCTGCGCCGCTGCGTGTCCTTGTGCCGGGGTGAGGACGTGCCCCGCCGACCGCTGCTACAGGCAGTGAGGCTGGATGATGGCTCGCTGCCAGCCCCCCCGTCCCCTCTCCGATTTTTGCCTGGTCTCCCTTCCAGGGCTCATCCTAGGTGGGAGAAGCGATGCTTCACCCCGTGAGGCTGTTGCCCCATCACTGCTGGGCTGGGGACCTGCTGGTTGGTGGGGATGCTCTCGCTGGGGTTTCTCATGGCTGACCGCTTCCCTGTCACCTGCTCAGCTGGAACGCCACAGAGCCCTGCTGAAAACACAGCCGCTCGCACGTACACCGTGAATCTGACCACAGACAGAAAGAGGAGGCAGAGGCAGAAGTGGGCGGCTTGGGCTGGAAGCATCCTGCGGGCACGGGCTGCCTTCGCTGCCCCTGTTCTGCTGTGGGGTGTTAGCGCTCGGGGTGCTGGAGTCAGCGATGTACCAGCTTCAGCTGCTTCCAGAAGCTGGCCCAGACTCAGGGAAAAATGTCACTAAACTATTTGCCACCACATTTACAACGATGCTTCACTGCCTGCGAGTCATGGGCAAGGCACACCGTGCCCGTTGGCTGGGAAAGCCTTCACTCGGTGTGTGACCACGCGGTGCCGATCCGCTCCGTCTAACCACAGCACAGGTTACTGGGACACCGCGTCTGGGACTGGAGAGATGCCCAGCACTGGCTGCCCCAGCGCCATGCCCTAGAACACTGCTCCTGGTTTCCCTGGCAGCCACCATCCCCTCTGACCCGTGACAGCTCAGCACCGAGAGATGAGCACCCTGCAAACACCCAGACGTGGCACAGGCTGCTCCCGAGCTCTGCAGATTGTCTCGCTGCGGCAGAGCCATGGCCGGCAGCGGAGCTGGGGACCACCCGTCTGGTGGGAAAGGTTCATGTGCTCCGTCGGGTTCCCCTCTTGCACAACCACTTTAAGGGACCAAACATAAGGCTTGCTGGAGAAATAAACACAAGCGTTTGTAGAAGATGCTCCAAAACTCAGCTGAACATCAGGACCTTTATTTGGGAGAGCTCAGCCCACACCCCTCGAGCAGAGGAGCTCTGTCCCTCCTGTGCTGGTTCAGGAGCAGAAGAAGCACCACCCGTCCCATGTCCTGGGCAGGTCCCCACGCCTCAATGCCCGGCTCACGGGATGCCTGGCTTCTCTGTAGGACTCATCCATCAGTGTCCCCATCTCCGAGTGCCCAGAAAGGTCCCATAAGTCTTGCCCTGGGGGAAACACAGGCTTTAACTACTATATTTTTTACGATACCTGACCCAAGCTGTCTGGCCAAGCCCTCCTTGAAAAAAATCCAGTATCTAAGCCCATAATTCTGGACACAAAAGGCTGCGATAGCAAACTAGTCGTTGTGTTCACCCTTCTCTGGCTTCTCCCCTTCCTTGCACACAGTCCCCCTGCGCTTTGCTGTCCCTGCTGTCGGCAGACATCAGCTAATACGCAACGAGATATTCATGCAAAAGGCCTTTGGAAATATTCATTGCTCATCTCTTAACAAGATTACCCCTGAAATCCTCCATTGCTCTGCGGGAGATTTAAAACCTTTCAGGCTCTCGGTAACCATAGCAGCACAGATGTGAAAACGAAGGGAGGACAACTGATGTGAAGAATCACGGGGGCTGTACAGACAGGCTGTGTGCCATGGGAGGCGAGGCGGGGAGCTCCCTACCTGCGGCTCTTTGTCTGGCACAGCCCGGGCTGGCTGCTCGCCCCGGCCAGCCCCCGCGGGACACATCCGCTCTGGGCAGAAATGTCCCAGACCGCAGGCAGCAGCAGTGATGGGAGCCGGTGTTGGCTCCCACAGCACCAGGGTCACCTTCCCAGACACAATCTGGGAAACCCCCATGGCTGGTGCTGCTGCTCGGTGTTCCCCAGCGTGTCCATCGGCTCCCGGCTGCTTCCCCGCAGGGTGCTGGTGGTGACGGGGACGGCTCAGAGCCAGGACAGGCTGTTCGGAGATCGGGGTCCCTGTTCCGTCCCACCACGGGTTCCTCCTCCACCTTGGGCACCATCTCTGCACTTGTAAGAGATGCTGGGTGTTGTGAGGTTGAACAAATCCATGTTTTGTGGCCCTTTGGAATGAAATCCTGGGAAAGCAAGCAGCAGCGAGGGCTTTGCACAGGAGGGAGGAACCACCAGAAACCCTTTTCATCGCCTCTCTTGAAAAGCCCTGTCCCTACAGGTATCTAAGTACAAAGAAGCATTAACCAAATTATTTTCTAATTTGAAATAAAATTGTTTTTTTGGTTTTAAACAGCTTCCAAAACCGGGGTGAGATTACTTGTCACGCCCTGCTTCCTCCCCATCTTTGGTTCTTCATTTCCACTGATGACAATGGCACACCAGGCACCAAAACACCATCACGGCTTCATTCACGTGCCTGAACCTGGCACCTTCTGCACATCCACCCCTTCTCCTGGGTTTTGACCAGCCGACGTCCTGCGGCCGTGCCGTCACATCCTCTGCATCCTCAGCTCCTCTGAACTACCGCAGCTGCGTCCTTGGCATCGCCTTGGGGCTCTCTGCATGGCACAGCCTCTCCAGAAAGAGCTTCATGTTGGCGAGCGAAGGTCCATCACCAGATGGTGCAAAACCCCCGGGTGCTGGGATGTACGGGGTGTTTTTGGACACTGGTCCCATCGCCAGCCCTGTCCAGGACCCAGCCTTCCGCTCTCCCAGGACAGGATGAGCTGAGGACGGGACCCTGCTCACCCCGATGCGATCTCTTGCCTCTCCTGATAATAAGATTGGATAGTGAAAGGGGATAAAACGATAATTGGGGAATTAAGAGGCAGGAATAATTCTTGTGAAAAGGGCTTTTGCAATCAACAGAATAAATTCATCCAGAACTAAACACTGAAATTGGTACTTTGCTATGGAAAGAAAACCAGTTGCATTAAAACTTAAAAAAATCCAATTCCAAAGCTAGAAAAAACCCACACACACAGATTTAGGATAAAAACTTATTTTAACTTCTGAGCAAGTTCCTTTTGTACTTGCATTTTGCATAAATCAGCTTCTGAAACAACTCTAGCATGAAATAGGAACAGTGACTGCTGAGGAAACACACCCAGACAGGGCAACCGGCACCTCTACGAGTGAACCCGCTTCCAGAGGTGATGCCCATCCAGGCGGAGACAGAGACCGACATGCATCCCACCTCCCTGCCCCGTAAATCACCCAACGGCTCGGGGTCACAGCTCTGCCGAGGCCGGGTCACCGCCAGCATTCCCACCCGTGACTGTGTGGCATCTGTGCCCCGAAATCGCAACGCATCATTTTCAGGGAGATTTGATTTTCCCCTGGGGTTAAATATTTCATAAAATCACGGAGTAACCGACAGCTGAACGGTTATGACTCATGCGCTTCAGGGAGATCTTATTTTTCTCCTCAGGTCAAATATTTCCCAGGCTGACGGAGGACTTGAGCATATTCGCAGCGACCCCGTCTGCAACCGAGTCCCCAGCCCCAGGGAAGTGCCAGCAACGCTGTGGGTGACACCACCAGCCCCTGCCATGTCCTCCCATGAGCCATCCAACAGCCGGGGGACCCCCGCCGAGCTCCCGCACTGCCAGCGAGCCCACGCCAGGTTAATCTCCAGGGAGGAGGAAAGGGCAGGACGGCTCGCTCAGCGTGACGGCTGCGACCAGCCACGGGTGATGCAAACGCAATGCGCGGCGCAGCGCGCTGCTCTCCAGGGCTTGAGTGTCTTTCCAGGACTGAGCTCCGCGGATTGGCCCGGAGCACCCCGCTCTCCTCCCTCCCTGCCTCCCCCTCCTTCAGCACCCTCAACCCACGGAGATTGGCCAGCCTGGTGCCACATGGCAGAGATGAAACGGGATAAAAGAGGAGCTGGCCTTGGGGACGGTAGTGTTTGTGGCAGAACAGCTGGGAGAAGTTTGCAGGGAGGTGGCACCAAACTTCCCTGGCTGCACCGAACCGGTGCACGGGAGGACAGACAGACAGACAGACAGAGAGACGCCGGGACTGAGGCTGCCCAGGTGAGCACCAGCTGCAGAGCATCCCGTCCCCTCCGCTCCCAGCCATGTCCCCGGGGGTGAAGGAGAAGAACCACGTGCGGTTGGTCTTCTTGGGCGCCGCCGGCGTGGGCAAGACAGCCCTCATCCGCCGCTTCCTGCTGGACACCTTCGAGCCCAAGCACCGGCGCACGGTGGAGGAGCTGCACAGCAAGGAGTACGAGGTGAGCGGGGCCACGGTCACGGTGGAAATCCTGGACACCAGCGGCAGCTACTCCTTCCCGGCCATGAGGAAGCTCTCCATCCAGAACAGCGATGCTTTCGCCCTGGTCTATGCCGTAGACGATGCCGAGTCCTTCGAGAGCGTCAAGAGCCTGCGGGAGGAGATCCTGGAGGTGAAGGAGGACAAGTTCCCTCCCATCGTGGTGGTCGGAAACAAGGAGGAGAGCGGTGGCGAGCGGCAGGTGCCGGTGGAGGATGCCCTGTCGCTGGTGGAGCTGGACTGGAACAGCCGCTTCGTGGAGACGTCGGCCAAGGACAATGAGAACGTCCTGGAGGTCTTCAAGGAGCTGCTGCAGCAAGCCAACCTGCCCAGCCGGCTCAGCCCCGCGCTCTGCAAGAGGAGGGAGACGCTGCCCAAGGAGCAGATGCTGCGGCCGCCCATGAACAAGACCAACAGCTGCTCGGTGTGCTGAGCCCCAGCCGGGGGAAGGCGCTGGCAGCGACGGCATCGGCTGGAAACTCAGGTGGGCTGGGTGGGGAGAGGTGCTGCCTCGGCCAGAACCAACCCTGCTGCCCCCCACCCCTTCCCTCCTCTTCCCCACCCAGCCCACGGGAGCGGGAGAGTTGGGGATGATGGGGAGGAGGGACTCGGAGGGACGCTGGTGCCAGCAGGGCGCGGGGAGAGGGCGAGTTCCCAAGAAGGAGCGGAACCCGGGGACCCTGTCGGTCAGCCAGGTTCCGCAGGGAGTGGCAGGCGGGCGGGCAGCTCCTCGCATGCTGGGACAGGGGACAAACAGCGGGTCTTTGGCAGCGTGCATCGGAAGGCAGACGTGGGTGTCTGTGCAGCTGCATCGCCCCCCCAGCGCCACTCTCCCGGGTCCTGTTCGGGTCCTGTGTCACCTCGCCCCAAGCACTCGCACACACACCCTCCCGGTGCCGCTGTGGTCACAGCGACAGATCCAGCGTCCAAAGTAGTTTTGACTCTGTACCTTGGTGTAGAGCGTGTGATAGGACAGTCTGTGCATCCCTTGGTTTTCTCTTTTTGGTTGTTTTTTTTAAGCATACCCAATAAACATGGTGTTGCAGAGTGGAGCTGGAAAACGTCTGGGTTTCTTTCTCCTGTACTTCGAAAGCTGCAGCGCCCGATATCAGTGTTGTGTTCCTGGAAGCCTTGTCACTGTGTTTGCTTTCCCTCCCCCGTGCTCCATCCGTATCTGGAGCATCCTGGCACTGGCAGAGCCCCCCCAGCTCTCCAGCCTCCCCGGGCAGTGTCAGGACACTCCACGTTGGGATTTTCTTGACAATTTAACCACTAAAGGTTTTTACCAAGCATGAGGAACTGAAAATGAAACAGCTCTCCTCACATCCAAGTACAGAAAAGAACAACAGCCACTAAAAGACAACTGATCCACTGAAATAAAACCCACAAAGACATTAAAAGGGGATAACAAAGGGAGTGGGAGAAGAGCCCCGAAGGGCACTATTTGCTGTGCTTCAGCACACGCTGCACTGATTTATTCTCCCCTCACACAGCCCATCCTCGCTGCTCAGCAGCCGCACAACACAATCAATACCGATGGTAAAGCTTGGCGGGTTCCAGAGTCATCCACCCCGGCCCTGACCCCAGGGAGCCGGGCAGTTTGGGGTCCCCGCTCCCAGAAGCCCAGCCCCACATCCCGGTGTGCCCCCACCCAGGCTGCTGCAGCGTCACCCCGCGATCCCGGCCCCTTCCCCACCAGAACAGAGGGGGAGGAGGTGCTGGCAGGGATGCCATCCTGCTGCCACCACGATGCTCCAGAGGTTGCATGGCCACTCCTCGCCCAGTGCCTTGGGGACACGGGGAGCAGCCGGGGCAGAGCACTTCCCGGGGAAAACCGCGCTCCTGCCTGCAGGGAACAATATACAAAGAACATTCAGCAGCTGACCCAAGGCGGTGGCACCCTGCCTGCAGTGGGACGGGCACCATGGTTGCACCCA